GGCCGGGAGGGGCCGGAGCCAGGCCGGGGAACGGGCCGCCCCGCGCCGCCGCGTCGTCTGGCCCGCCGGTGTCGTCCATGGGCGCCGTCAGCTCGTCACTCCGCATTCTCTCCGCCGCGCCTGCGTTTCGAGGGAGAAGGTAAGGACAGCCACCCGACTAGACACACACTCGCATGCACAACTTCGGCGGCCAGAGGTGGCGGCCTTTTTGTTACACATAAAAATCCGACGGTTCGTTTGCGGGTACCTGGGTTTCTTTTTCATACTATTAACGGTTTAGTCCTCAGGAAATGTTAGCCCTGTCCAGCCCTTCTGCCCTTAACTAGGAGCGCTCTTCAAGATCAGACGGGTCCCCAGCTCACAGGTACTGATACTAGGGAAATGGGAAGCACCAGCTAAATAAGTGCTGTATGTGTGAGTTTTAACTAGTCTCCTTCGCTCTCTTTTAAAAAGGTTACTCTTCTCAGAGTAAGAGCTTCATTTTGTTTGCGGCTCTCAGTGTTAGGGAACAAACTGTTGGAACGAGCCAAAAGGAAAGAAAGCCTTGGGAACTAACGATTTGTTTCTTAAACTTGAGGGGTGTAAGTGCCCGTGGTGAACAGCCTTTTAAAGACCTTTCAGTGAGGAATTTTTTTTTCAAAATACAAGTCTCTGTTTTGTGACTTTAAAAACAACGTGCTTATGGGGCACCTGGGTGGCTCAGTCGTTGGGCGTCTGCCTTTCGGCTCGGGTCATGATCCCAGAGTCCTGGGATCGAGTCCCGTGTCAGGCTCCCTGCTCCGCGGGAAGCCTGCTTCTCCCTCTGCCGTTCCCTGCCACTCTGCCTACTTGTGATTCCCCTCACTCTCTCTCTGTGTCAAATAAATAAATTAAATCTTTAAAAAAAAAAACAAAAACAAAAAAAACAACGTGCTTATGAGGAAAATGGCAGTACTAAAAAAACACCAAAACGTTTTAAAAATATACATACTTAGGAAAACAAATATACAAAGCAGTTTTCTGAATTTTTACCTTTAAATTAGTTGGTAGGCCATGTCCTGTGGGCCTTGGGGGGTCCCTGTCATTGCCTCAGAGTTTCCAGCCAATGTCAGTTGTCAGGTAGCAACACTGTAGCATGAATCCTGAGTTCTAAAGAACCATCAGCAGTGCTAGGATAAATTCAGAGGACAGGCAGTGAGTTAAAGAAATTCAGTAAACAGCCCCCTAAACAGATACCAGAATACTGGCTAGCACCATGTTATTCTAGTGTTCTTTTTTTTTCTCGCCCTGTCGTAGTTGCTCCAGTTATAAAACAAAAAGAAGTTTTCTGTATTGCTCATCTCCTCTATATACTTAAAAGATAAAAAGCTTTGTCAATGCTTTTAATTAAGGAAGGAAATAAAAGTAATAGCTTCTTCTCTGTCCAGCAAATATCTGTGGTTGAAAGGATCCACACACAACCCAGTGACTATCATTGCAAAGTCTTTCCTATTAAAACAGTTTATCACAGAAATAACCTATCAAACAAGGCGGGATAGAAAAGGTGAAGTTTAGTCTTCGGGAAGTAACTTCACAAAGGACCAAATGTGTAATTCTAAACAAATTTGTTTTGAAAACTTAAAAATAATAAGAGAACACGTGGCAGACTTGGAGGTCTTCTGAGAATTTATTTCAGGGGGAAAATCAAGGCCAAGATACATAGTGAGATAGCCAGTGTCCACTTGTACTGTCAGGTTTTGAACCAACAGCTGTGGAGATGATAAAAGTTCCAGAATCTCTTTTTTTTTAACGTAACTGGGAATGACAGAAGACACAGTTGGGAACAGGAAAAATAAGTTGCTATAATAGTAGTAGTGTTTAGTGTAAGCTTTTATTTCAGTTGCTAAGAGTCTTGTTACAGATACGTTATAGTTTTCTAAATCTCGTTTTTCTCCCCACCAAGCTGTTCTAGTCAGGATCAGGCATCACGTTAAACATATCACTCATGTTTTAAAAAAAGGTCACAAACTTACCAGAATCATCAAAAAAGACAAGTACCAGTCCTCTTCTAACAAAAGAATTAGCTATTTACATATCTTGTGATACAACGGGCATTGATTTGAATATAGTTTCTCATGAAAGCTAATTAGTATAAAAAGTCTTTGGAAATTAAAAGGCTACATTTCCTGCAAGAGATTTACTAAATCCCCAAAGTCCCCAAAGGGGGAGTAATAGGATGAAGAGGGGAGTTACAATTTTCAAGGATAATTTTTTTTTTATGCTTAGTAAACATTATGGTTATGTAACATTATGGTTAGTAAACAGACCAGATTTTAGTATTAGAAACTGTTTTTGGTAACCTAAATTTACCTAAAATTTTTCTTTTTTTTTTTTAGAATTTCATTTCTTCTATATTAGAATCCTCTCTTTACAGAGTTCCTTTTTTTATTACTAGATAGACACAAAGGGGAGAGAATAGGATTATGAATTCTTGTATTTTTATAAATTAAAAGAGATTTAAAGGTTTTCTATAATATCAAGACTATTGCTTTGCATTCTGATAATGCTTTCTTGAGCTGGGGGTTGAAAACTATATATAAGCTGCAGACTGTCTTACCTGTGTCAGAGTCTGAGAGTGATCATTACTGATGTGCCCCTAAAAGTGCCAGGGTGACCAATTACTGTCATGCTTTACCTCCCTGCAAGATGTCTCTGGGTTTCTTCAAAATCTGGGATGCCCAGAGGAGTGCCACATACATGAATGCCATCTGTTGTAAGAGCGAGGGTGGAAACAAAGAGTGAGAAGCACTGATTTTGATGTCTTAATCCTTTAAATTTAGTGGACTGCCTCATCTGAGCCAGGGACATGCAGCACTGTAAATGTCGGCCAGCACAGCGCTGCCCCTCCAAGGGCGGCAGAGGGACATCCTCTGCCTTGGCAGGCCTTCACTCTCGGAGGTCTTAACCGGTAGAAGGCAGCACAGTACTGAACTGCCTCACCTTCTCAGTCCTCCGCACACAGCTACATCCTGGCTTAATACAGTCTTCTGTTCAGACTAAGTATTTAAACAGTGACCAGCAGTCTGTGGCCATAGGTCATCATAGCCTTCCTAGTTCTGCTAAACAACCCCTGGGCTTGTTTCAACTATCCCTATAGTACAGAGGGAGAGAAGCCTCCTAGTCAGCTATCTTGGCTTGGGACAGAGGCCTCAGCAACTTCAGCCACAACCCTAATACACAAAGAGCTCTTATAAACTGACAAGAAAAAGACAAACAACCCAATAAAAAAAAATGGGCAAGAAATACGAGTAGGCAAATGACCTAAGAACAAAATCAGATGGCCAAGAAATTTGTGAAAAGATTCACATCACTTACATTCAGGGAAGTGCTATTAAAGTAATAGTAAGGTCTCATTTTAGATCCATCACACTAACAAAAACGAAGAGGTCTGTCAGCCAAAGCTAGAAGGGAGGCAAAGAAAAGGGTATGTTCATGCATTACTAGTGGAGATGTGGAAGCTTTTAGGAAAGCAGTCTGGCAATTTCTGTTAATTAAAAATAGATATAATCGGGGATCCCCTTCTTGGGAATCTATTCTGTAGAACTAAAAGTACTAATACATAAAGCATTATGTATTAGGATGTTTATTACAGTATTATCTGGAATGGCAAAAAACTGGAAACACGGGAATGCCTGTCACCTGGAGAATGGCTGGGTAAATGATGTGTGTTCACACCTGGGAATATTGTGCAGCCATTAAAAAGGATGGATTGGAGCTCTGCTAGAAGACCTAGAGGGATTTCTGAAGGAGCTCTTCAGGGAGAAAAGCCAAATGCAGAAAAATATGTATAATATGATATCATTATTCTTAAATAATATACAGATCTGCGTAGGATATATAAAGATTATATATATATGTGAAGAAAAATGAGGAAGATACACTGTCGGTTGATGAGTGGCAGCTGGTGTGAAAAGAGAAAGGGAAGAAGTAAACACAGAAGGAAGAGTAAAAAGGTCCTAAGAAAGCATGCACATTTGTGGATACATTTAGGTAGACTATGTATATGGCAGGATCTACACATAATGTGGAGAGCGAGATGGAGTCACTCACATCAAGCAGTGATGTCATGAATGAGGAAAGCAGACAAGGGTGATGAGCTGAGAATAAGTATCACTAAAACTCTTCACAGCCTGTTGGCACCCAGAAGTGATGACCAGAAAAGCCAAGAGAGCCTGGATGAACCGAGAACTGATGATTGGTAGAATCCGAAGTCTGGAAGGGCTAGACTGATCAAACTCCTTTAAAAAGGGAAGATTTTTGCAGCAAACTGTCATATTCTCCAGACACTGACCCTTCCACGTCTGACCGCATCAGAAAGGCAACTGCCACCGAAGGTCCTGCCCAGTTGATCTCTGAACATAATAGAGATCCTCCCCTGCTTGAACATACTAAGCAGGAAGCACTGAGTGGACCCACACCGGTCGAGACCTCATCTCATCTGTGTGCTTGTAGACTGACTTTGCATTGGGTTCATTAACTTACCCTATTTTATCTTGTTTGTTATGTGACTTTTATATTGTACTTTGTTTTGTGTGTTGTATATGAAGCCAAGGTAAATGCGCAGTGAAATGTCATTGAGTTTGGAATTCTGAACCTGCTTTTACAATTATGTTAACCTTGCTTTATGATTCAATAAAGCTGACATTATGGAAAGACACAATCTGTGTATACGCCTTCATAGAGTAGCTCCCCAACAATGTAAATACAAAGTAATTTTCTAAAACAATCCTCAGGCCCGTGAGTCCATGTTGGGCCAGGCAGCCTGAACTACGGAGACTGGAGAGGACAGTCCCGTGAGGCATAGCACTGCCATCTGGCCCTGGAGGGACCCCAGTGTGTGAGGTTGCTCGGCGTCAGGAGGTTTGCTGGCCCTGCTTGAACAGAAGGAGATTCTGTATTCATAAGAGATGGAGGTACCTGGGAGGAATGCCCACCTGCCCCATCCCCCTGGCACAGGCAGGCACTCAAGGGATGCTGCCTTCAATGCAATGAACTTGACTACTTTTCTTAGACCCAGCTCACTAAATCCCAATCTCTCCATCTGTCAAGGAAAATGATAAGATTATCTGCCTCTAAACCTGTGGCTGAAATCAAATAATGCAAATGATCTCGCTTTTGGATTCTCCAGTGCTATATAACTTCAGGGCATGAACAAAAAGAAGCTACCAGTATTTACTGCTCAGACACACTCACATTAAGATCTTAGTGGTTAAAGACAGTGTTATTTCTCTTTGACATTGTTACTCAGTAGAGTAGACAGTTTAAGTTGGAAAAATTCTTTTGAGGATTTTTTAATATAAAAAGCAAAAAAGAATCACAGATCCACCTTCCCTCCCCAACCAAATTTATTTTCATTTCGTAAATTGACTTTCATGCAAAATAGGTCGCTCCTGTCTCAGGTAGAAAATAATGGGGAGGTCTGGTTACCTGGAGCCCTGCAATATGTATTACTTCCTTACCAAGTAACCAAGAAAAACGCACACCTATTAACTACATGGTTAGCTAACATGAAGAAAATGAAAAATAAGAGCTCCCTTAATTTTTTCTTAAACAGTTTTTAAATTACGAGAAAGGTGCCAGTGAATGTGATTATTTTGCTTACAATCCATTCACTCCATCCACTCTCATTCGAATTGCTCATTGTGCACCTGCTCATCTGAGGTCAGACAAGGGCTTGCTGCCTGCCCAGGATGCCAACAAGAGAACCACATATTCCATCCCCTCCAGAAGCTCACCGTCTGGTGGGGAGAGATGCTTCCAGCAATAATTCTGATACATATGCTAAAGGTCAGAGCACAGTTCACTCATGAGGGTGAATTCCATCACGCGATGTCCATACTGAGGAAAGGGTGGGTCTTGGGGGCCCTAACACAAATGTTCAAGCAGACACTCCTGCTTCAGCATCTCTTCCCTTCCTGACCTCCTTCAGGGCTCCAAATTCACAAAAAACACATTGCCGCTAGTGCTGACTCTCATAAAGTTCCAATTCTTTAGTCTTATAACTAGGCTTCTAAGCTCATATTTTTTTTTTTTAAAGATTTTATTTATTTATTTGAGAGCGAGAGAATGAGAGAGAGAGAACACGAGAGGGAAGAGGGTCAGAGGAAGAAGCAGACTCCCTGCTGAGCAGGGAGCCTGGTGCGGGACTCGATCCTGGGACTCCAGGATCATGATGACCTGAGCCGAAGGCAGTCACCCAACCAACTGAGCCACCCAGGCGCCCGAAGCTCATATTTTAAAAAAAATATTTCCTGATGCTAAATGAAACTAGCTAGCATGAAATTAATTTAATAGTGGAAATGTTTTAGTCCAATTTCGGGGAAGGGGAAAAAGCTGAGAGAAAAGTAGATTTTAGTTATTTCATGGAAGGGGGAGAGTAGTATTGTTGGTACCACACCTCTAAACTCTCCCATAGTGAATTTCATTTGAGTATCCATTATCTGGAAGGAATGATAAGTTTAAGCCTGTGGAAGATCATAAATTCACATTAATTATTTCAAACTGCATTTCAAGTTTTATTTGCAGTTCTCCAAAGTTATAGTCTTCTAATAATCTATCAGATTAAAACCCAGACTCTTCAGTATCCTCTCCCTGAATACCAATATAGAGAATAAGGGAGATCAAAACCCAGATGAATAATTTGTGTAAATATGGGTGTACATACATATAATATATGACTGTAACATTAAGAATCATCCTATAAAATACCCACGGAAGTTAATTTTATTATTTTATACTTATGCTTGAACACATACAAAATATTAGGCAGGCTAAAGGCCAAAGAACGAGGCAATGTTCTCAAAAGGGAATAGCAAATGAACTATAGCTCTGTTTGTCCTTCCACAGCCAAGGCTAATCACTTCAGATGGATTAATCTGGCAGAGTTGTAAACAAATACCTGACTTTGAGCCTGGGTCTTAGGTAAGAAATTCACACTAATGTGAAATCCACACAGACTTGGGTGGAAACACTAAAAGCACCATGGAGATGGGGGCAGGGATTCCTGTTTGAGCATTTGGCTCCTATTTGGCTTCTCCTCTCCAAAATGAGAAACATTAAGAAAGTCTCATTTACTTCACCCACCAGTAACTTAATCAAAGCAGAACATAATAAATAATTAGCCTTGACAATTGAAATATCAAGGAAACCACAATTCATTCACCTGTTACTTGTCCATCTCTTTGAAATATTAGTTTACTACCATGGATTCATCTATTTATAAACAGATCCAGCCAATCAGAAAAATTAGTCTGGAATCACAAGGCTGAAGACTTAGATGAAGTGAAAAAGCAAAAAAATGCCTCCAAACTGTGAAGTGTGGATACTTAGCTCAGGCAATACATGGGTAAGTGTGAAAATACTTAGATAAATGTTACACATGGACTGTAAAAAATGTACTGGACCCACATCTAATTGTATGATGAGTCAGAGATGTTTTCTGAATGTGTTAAGCCAAACTCTTAGATACCTCTACCATTAGCTAAAAGGCCAGATGTATTCTTAATTAATGCATTTTTAAAAATGAAAAGCTTCTACCCTAAACTGGACCTTTATTTTAGGTCTACATGACTTTAATACATGTTCCTCAAAAGAAGGGTGTTGATTCCTTTTGTCTTGTAAAACGCATACTTTAATATGAATTACAGGAATTTAAAGCTGCCCTACTTTGAAGTCCTTTGTAATACAAAGAATTTTTAATTGAGAATTACCTTGTTTTGACTCTTGGCCATTTTACACATTGTTGCATACTTTTTATTGTCCTTTGCCTCAAGCTAGTTTTGGCCAAAAAGAGTGTACAAATAATACATGAACACAAAGTGCATAAAATAATTACCCTAATTATGTCAATTTATTAAGCTTTTTTTACAGTAGCTTCTGTTTAACGCCATATTCATGTAGTCTGGGCTAATTTGAAGTTTGGATAGTAGTTATTTTTTTCTTTCAAGAAAGGAAAAATAATTTTGTTTGGTAAGCTTCGGGCATTTGGCTACTGTCAGTAGTTACAGCAAACTGCTTCTCTATACTCAGAGAGGATCGGAAAATTCTTTTGTTTGAGCACCATGGAGATGGGGGCAGGGATTCCTGTTTGAGCATTTGGCTCGTATTTAGCTTCTCCTCTCCAAAATGAGAAACATTAAGAAAGTCTCAGAGAAAGAGCACACTACAGGGCATGCAACCATTTGCCACTGTTAAAAGTCTGACTGCAAAAAGGCAATTTTACTTAGGAAAGCAGATGATTTTCGATATTCTCAAATAACTTTTTTGAAAGGAGACTGGGAGCAAAAACGAGGTGCTGAAAGAAGCTGAACAGTGCCTTTAGGCAGAATCCGGGGCCACATGCGTCTTTTATACTAGGGACAACCTGAGCACAGAGAAGGAAGGGCACGTCCGGCAGCCCATGCGCAAGCCAGCCTGTGATAATAGCGCACAGTGGCGTTTGCGGGTTGCTGGCTCACCTGCGGCCCCCGAGGCCCGGGACTGGTCCCCATTCCCTTCGCCGCCCCACTTCTCCCCCAGCCCCTGGTGGGCCGCGACCCGCCCAGGCCTCCGGGAGCGCGGCCGCCTACGTGGCGGCGCACACTCACCCCATCACCCCCAAAGCGCGGCAGGAGCAAGAGGCGGGCTAGAAGTCTGGGATCGCGGGTCCCCTCCAGGATCCTCGCAGACATTTTGTTCTGTGCAGAAACCTCCGCGCGTATCCCTTAAAGACACAGCGCTCAATTCACGCATCTGGGGGTGAAAGGGGGAGGGTAACATGTGACCTATAGGGGAAAGGGCTGGAGAGTCACTCCTTAGCCATCCAGGTCCACGAGTGACAGACCTCGTTTGCCAAGGTTGAAAAATGATGCAGTTGTTTAGTGCTTTTTAAAAATGTAATTTTTATTTTATACTTATACATTAACCTTCCAAGACCTGGATTCCTGTCTTGAGTCTGAGTGCAGTTTGCATCCTTTCAGGTTCAAGGTATCTGATGGTTCAAGTTGTTAAAAGAAACCCGCCGAACCAAGGTCTGGACAGGGCTCATTGGTGTTCTAGAACTTAATAACGCTAGTGTATCAGCTTTCGATGGATTATGTTGAGGTAACAACACCTACAACTCGGTGATTTACAATAAGAAAGATTCATTTCTCAAGCAAATTACATCTGCTACATCTATTCCACTAGTTTCCTTTACTCCAGGCTCCAGGTTGAAAGATCAACTTTTTTGGGGGGATACACTCACTTCACCGTGTGCTGGAAACAACTTTAGGGAAAAAGAGTCCTGATTTATAGTGTTTGTTATTTCCATGATGTAAATACTCCCACCTTGGCTGATTTCAAGCTACTTTTAACAAGTTTAACAAGTGACTTGCCAAATTTCTGGAAATGTTACAATCAGCTCTTATACACCACCTGCACATGCTGCTCCTAAAACAAAACAGCTCACATTCTGAGCACCCCAATTCTGTTCACATTTTATTGGCCAAAGCAAGTCATATGGCAAAGCTTGCTGTCAATGGGGCCAGAAAGTGTACTCTCAAAAAAAAAAAAAAAAAAGAAACCTTGCAAGTCGTATAACAATGGGCAGAGATTATATAATCCTTTTAAAAGGAGGACAGGGAATTAGTGATTACAATATTACAATCCACTTTACATGCTTCGGTTCAAGTAATTTTTTTTCAACCTCATTTTTTTCTATAAATTAGAAAAATGTCTAAGTGTCAAAGTCCATTAATGGAGTTTCTCCCTACCATTCCAAGAATGGTTTCAGAAGAAACTGGTTGGGTATCTTAAAAGGGATAATTTTGCAAAGTGAAAGTAAACTATTAGGTTGACATTTTTCTTCTCAGAAGGACACTTACTGCTGTGGACATCAATTAAAAGAATAGTAACTAGTATAAATGAATCTGGTTAAGTCATCTCTTATTTGTTGCTTAATTCAAAAACAGATTTTTAAAGATTATTGTATCTGGCAATTCTTTTAACAGGAGGCTTTATTACTTTGAATACTTTAAAAATCCGTTTGGCTTTAGACTGACCATGTAATGAGATACATGGTATTTTCATTAGTTTTTAGTAAGTGCTGGTTATGAGCAAAGCACTATTCTAAACCTGAGTAGGAGTCTGGAGATTCTAGAGATAACTCAGTAAGATAGTAAGATAAATGCAACTCAAAGAAGAAAATGGAAAATGATGTAAAAGGAAACTTTCAAGCGCCACACTAATTTGAAAACAGCTACATTTTTTTTTTTAACTGGCAACATTTGAGCAAGACTTGAAAAAGTGTAGGATTTGGACTCCTGGAATTACATGTTTGTTATCCTAGCAAGATGTGTTTTGGATTTATTTTTGAAGTCCAGAGAAATGGAGCCTGTCTTTTCTGTGTTTGAGTCAATGCTTAAACTTCCTTATAAGCTAAAATCTCTTTCTTGTAGTTTTAAATTAAATTTTATTTTATTTTATTTTTTAAATTTATTTATTTTTAAGATTTTATTTATTTATTTGACACAGAGAGACACAGCAAGAGAGGGAACACAAGCAGGGGGAGAGGGAGAAGCAGGCT